CAAGAATCAAATCTTATAGAATATCGAATTCAGTTAATTACATAAAAGCGAAGTTAGCTTTATCCGAAATCAGACTTAGGTACGATATAATATAAAGTATTAACTAGCGAGAGTCATTTAGTTAGATTCACCATTATCTATTACGTACTGTTTAATTTACCAAGTTCTATTATTTCTATTATTAATATTATATCAAAATCTATTTAGTTTCTTTTGATCAAACCAGTATACTTTTCATATTTTGTTGTTATTTGTTACTTGTTATTTGTTAAATCCATCATCTTCATTATTTTATTGAATAAACCTTATTGTTGAAAGATATTGACCTGTGGATTTCACTCCTTAACCGCACACCACACGAATCCCACAATCTTTAGATTTAGTTATTTTCCAAAACGAGTCGTTTAGTTGGTAAAAGCCGTTCTTTACCTTCCTAGCGCTAGTAACTATCTGAACCTAGGTTCCAGAGTCGTTACAACCCGTTATAGTTTTCAGCGTGTCTGTACGCGTCGTTAGACAGGATGAGTGCTATATTCTTTTGTTCATATTCAATTATATTAGAAGTTTCGTCAGACGGTTACAAACTACAAACTCGTGAACATGTCAGTTTTGTTCTTTTTGTTCTCAATATATCTACATATATTATTAAATACTATTTTTCTTTAAACCGGACTGTTTTTCTTTACCCAAATAACTACAATAGGAAGGAAACTGACAGTAGGGATGATGAGGGAACGGTATTTTTTGGGTTTGCCCAGAAATTTTATTATGGGTCTGTAACAGGCCGCGGTCTTGGATTAGGAGGGATGGTTTTGGTCTTGGTTTATAGTGTGGTGGTAAAGTATATTTTATTATTGTCTTTTTTGACTCTCAATGTATATGAGGTCATAGGTATCGTGACCCTATGTTATACGGTGTGCTGTGCCACCGTACAAATATTTTGAATTTATAATTTTTGTTTAAATTTTTGTACTAAATGTTGAACTATTTTTTGCAACTTTATGTATGTAAACTAGGAATTAAAATAGGGGATACGTGTTTTTCGAATTTGTTGTTTTTAGCGATAATTATTATAGGGTGATAAATTTCAGCCAAGAGACACAAATTATCTGCACACTATGTGTTCATACATATACAGACAGTTGGGTTTATACATCAATTGTTCCAAAAGACCCATCACATGCAAGTAACGTTTTGGTAGAAATAACTTAATATAATTTTGTAGATAATAATAAGCAACATCAATTAATGCATTCGAAAATATATGTATAATTCCATTTGAAGTAAAAGTATGTCACCTACATGACTTTTCAGCACCTATTCATTAAAAAAACTATGCATTTATATCAAGTTGCGACACCATTGAAACCATATATTTTGAATCTAAATTATTTTTTAGTACGAAATATACATAGTATACGGACGAACGAACTTAAATTATAGCAGGCATTTAATAACAAACTTACCCACTGAGAGAAGTAATGCGGTTCCCTTCCAAATTTAGGTGTATCAATTCGTTCGTTCGGAAGAAAATTTCATGTGGTAGCGTAGTCAGTTTATTGTAACTCAGGTCCAGCTCCAACAACTGGTGTAATTTGTAAAAAACACTTTCATCCAGTGACAGCAAATCATTTCTCCCCAAAGTGAGTTTTTCTAATGATCCAAGACTCCAAAATATATTTTTCGGCAACGTGATCCAACCGTTATATTCTAATTTTAGCTCTTTAAGTTGCGTCAGATTTCCGAAAAATGTTTCTGGTAGAGTAATATTATTTCTATTATTGCATAAAGTTACACGTTTCAGTTTAGTGTTCTGCCTCAGTAATTGTGTCGGTAATGAGTTAAAGCTGTTGTTATCTAATTTCAGCACTTCCATATTTTCTATCTTTGCAAAAATGTTTTCTGGCAAAGAGTTTAAATTGTTGGAACTGAGGTCTAAAGATGTCAAAGAAACGAGTTTGTCGAATATACCGGACTCAAGCTGCGTCAAGTTATTCAATGAAAAGTTCAACGTCTGCAGCTTCGTCAGAGGATCGAATATACCGGATTCAATTCCACTAATTGAGTTGTTACTCAGTTTTAGCACTTTGAGTGTTGGAGTGTTATCGAAAATCCTTGAAGTTAAACGTACATTGTTATTCCGTAAATCGAGAATAACAAGGTGAGGTACATCCGCGAAAATGTCACTACTAAGGTGCGTTATACCATTGCTTGATAGAATTATCTTCTGTAAATGTGGGAAACCTTTTAAATGATTCCTGGTTAGGATGGTGCTCAAATTACCAAACGGTTTGAACAGCAACTTTTTCACTTCCTGTCTGCCATATGGACTTGCGTAGTCTCCTAGGCTCCAGTTCATTGACAGATAGCACACGTGCTTGAATGAGTGATTAAAGAAGTCAAAGGTTGATTGTTGCTGCTTGTGACACGGCATCTAAACAGGAGAAAAATTTTAACGGGCTAACTGACAGTATGATTACTGATTTCCAGTTGGACTATTATAAGGAGTTGAACAAAAACATAATATTAAGAAAGATGCTTAATTTAGTTTTTATCAGTGAGGAATTTTTAGAGCGTGATGTATTACTCTACTGTTCACTTATTGCAATAGAACTGTCAGCAATATGGACACAGTTTTAATATAAATTTTATATGTTTTTCATTATTAACGACTCAGTTTCTGAATTCTTATTTTGCTTTTACTTATTTTTTGTTATTGATATCTCTTAATTGTACGCTTTATTTTCATTGTGGCGGTTTCTCTTTTACGCTCATCGCGACTAAACGGCGTATTAGACCGAGATTTGATTTTCTCGCTAGTACTCAACGAGTCTTCCTATTCATACAAATAGTTTCTGTCCATCCCTTTCATAGATCCCCGCGTCTAAGACAAGGGCCTGCTAGGTTACTTTACTGATAAGTCCACTAGCAGGTCCCGGACGGAACGCCCTCTCCCTCTCCTTCATATTTCGTAGCCCTTCCACTAGCTAACTGAACCGCCAAATCCATTATTATTACAATACTTGACGATGCATTGTAAGTTCGATCGAAATCAGCATGGTTCTAATACTTTGCTAAGTGTATAAATTGTCAGATACTTGTACAAAATTCATAAAAATAGCCTTTTATTCCTTCTAGAAATTTCGTCAGAAAAAGTAAGTGAGGTGCGCTGTTCATGCACGAACACGCACCTCCTCGATTCTTTGTCTTTTAGTTTCAGTTTGGCATTTGTATTGAGCATTCCGTTAATCTTTAATACGTTTAATCTTTAATTAATTAATTTATTCACTGTTAAGAGTGTTTTTCTGTTCAATTTTGCTTTGTTAACCCCTTGCCGTGCTTTGACGAGTCTCACTCGTGATGCATTCACAACTCAAATGTGATTAATGTTACTCAAATTTTGAATACTCTTCAACTTGAATTTTAGATCCAACTATAATTTGCGTTGTCAAGGATCTCTGAATATAAAATACTTAGAACATTTTAATTTTCTTTGTAGAACATTTTAATTTTCTTTTACTTAGAACATTTTAATTTTCTTTGTTCGTTTTAATGTTATAGTCCTGAATGGTTAGTCTTGACTGACGCACCTCATAAATAAATGGCACGGCAAGGGGTTAAACTTAATTTGTTATATTAAAAGGAAGATTTGTTCAATTTCGAGTATTTTTATTCAACGGGATTACGACAAAATATTATGAGGATTATGAAAAAATATTAGTTTCATTTTTGGGATGGTTTGGATTATTTTAAACTCGCAAAAAGCAAAATTACTGAATAAGAAGAAAATGATCGAAACATTACGACCCCATTAATGATATAAATTCAGTGACCAAGGCAACCTCTAAGCGGCAAAATTAATCGATGAGGTTCGTCAACATATTAGCATGTTGAAGTTTTTGGGAGTCGATCCGGATCCGGGTTTAATTATTTGCGTACTGGAAAGGGCACTGCCGAGTGAAATCCGCCAAAAATGCGAAGAAATTCTGAATTTACGCGTCCTTCTCACGTTAAATCCATGTTACACATTTATTCGTGAAACCTCGTTTCGAATGCTCACGTTCAAGCAAGATATCGGTCAGGATAACGCCGTAATGGCAGGGAAACGTAAAGACTTTCATGCAGGAATGCTGGAAAACGAAGCTCGATTGGGATAAACCGGTACCACAAGCGTTATATACGAAATGGACTTCGTTTTCAAATCAACTCCCTCTTATTAATAATTTATCGGTTGAGTGGAAACTTATTATCGAAAAAGCGTGTAACATTCAAATTCACGGACTTTGCGCCGCGAGTAAAACAGGATATGGCGCGTGTTTGTACATACGTTCCTGTAATAAAGAGGGTCAAACACTTGCTTGACTCTACAGAGCGACACGGGCTGCCTTTAACTTCTCAATTAATCGCGTAATTTTTTGTCGGATTATAGTGTTAAAGATCCCAACCATGTGTTCAAAACATTATTTTCTACCATGCCGTTTCCTTAATTTTAGGCCCTTTCCTGTCACCAGTTCTAGACCGTTCAAGTAATTCATAAATTTACACTTCCAGAAATCCACTTTCCCTCATTTTTCTACCCAATCCCTGTTTCTTTTCCTCCACCTTCGTATAATAATTAGCCAATAGTATTTCTGCAAAAACCCTGCTCGTAGGCTCTTCATCCATTTTTTCGTTAGATTCCATCTGGTACTTCAACGACTTGGCTGTGTTTGATTTTTGGATAAAGTTTGGAACTAGACTAGGATTAAGTTGTGTCACAATAAATTAATTATTTTAAAGGTAAACCATCCTAATTCAAACCCAGTTTCCCAACACTAGGATAGTTTTATAATGGCTCAAAAAATTTCCGACAGTCTTAAAACTTTTGTCGAACAAGCAGCAGTTTTCGCTCACACGGATGTCGATTTTTTCGGTCCGCTCTTCATTACGGAGAAAAAACGTAGGAATAGAAATAACATAAAGGCATACGGATGTGTTTTTATTTGCACGTCCGTTAAAGCAATACATATAGAAATTGTGAGCGATCTCACGATCGAAGGTTTTCTCGGTTTCTTCAGACATATCATTGGGCGTCGAACTATATCTGTTCACATATACTCCGATAACGGCACAAATTTTGTAGGCACGAGTAATCATCTCGGCGAATTATACGCCTTATTCGGATCATCAGAATTTAAAGAATGCGTAACCTAGTTTGCAACAATCAAAAACATGAGGTGGCATTTCAATCCACCGTCAACACCCCACTTTGGAGGCATTTGGAAGGCCGCGATCAAGTTATATGAACATCATTCCAAACGCGTTGTACGCGAACGCCTGTTTATATTTTATGAAGTCAATACGTTAGCAATAGAAATCGAAGCAATTTCAAATTCACGACCGTTATGCCCTATTTCGTCAGACCCAAATGACCCTATCGCATTAACACCTGCGCACATATTAGTTAATCTCCGCTTACGATGCTACCAGAAGATAATCTTTTAGTTCCAGAAAATCGACTGACTTCCTGGAAAGTTATCACTAAGGCTCGTTAAGTCTTCTGGGAACGGTGGTATCAGAAATACCTAAATGAACTACGAAGGCGCCAGAAATGGCTCAAATATAGTGGGCAGCTAAAGATCGACGCAATCGTCATCCTGATGGACAGAAATCGGCCCTGCATGCGATAGAGGTTGGGCAGAGTAACGGAGATACATCCCGGTGGTGATGCAGAAGTCTGAGTTGTCACGGTCAAGACCGCCAACGGCATCGTGAAATGCAACACAACTCAATTAGGTCCATTAATCAAGAATATTTAAAATAATTGTACCATTTTGTAACAAACTATTTATACTTATAACACACACCACACTACTCATCAACACACAATGACATTGCTCGCTTCACTCGCAACGGGGGGAGTATGTTTGGACGCGAACTTAGACCTTTGCCGCGACTAACAATAAGAAACTTATTACAGGATTCAAGTGGTTCGACGCACAGATTGCCGTGAATAACGTTATATCTCCAAATACGGGTCACCGAAAACCCTTTTGTCTATCAAGTTTTGCCCGGACCGGTCGTACAAGTGACATCACCCAATTCATTCACACCGATTTTTATGAAATTCTTATACGTTAGAGAACTCGAAAAAATATTTCACACACATCCTTTTTATAGACGAATATCCACTTTAAAGTGGTAAAAATAACCCTTAGAGTTGTGGTCGAAAAAACTATTTTCGGAAATATCTCGGGAACTATTAGGCCTAGACAAAAAATTCGGAATGTAAATTTTTCTGTTTTAAAAGGCCCATAATGTGGGTAAGTGGATTTTTGAAAAATTTGTTTGTTTAAAAAATATGTTAAAAATTAACATTTTGCAAATTTTTTAAATAAAATGTTCAACTATTCTTATCAAATTTCGCGTACGTAAACTATGTGTCCAAAGAAAAAATACAGATAAATTGGAATTTTTGATTTCGCTCGTAGAAAAAATATTACTGTCATTATATGTACATTTTATATCTTCCGTTCGGTGCACGGCTGATTTCTATACATAATATTCTGGAAATCATATTATATTAAATTTTTTATACTACTTTATTTAAAAAAAGAATTTGGAGATCCATAGGCGTAAACATGTGCTTGCCATAAACCGGCTAACGGCTATACCTCCTTTTCTCGCAGTTTTAACAAACAAAAACATAGACTTTTCTTAACTGTCACGCTCTGAAACGCGAGGGTGTTCAACAGTTAGTAAATAGAAAAAATATACCGCCACCATAGATTTCTTTCTTGAAGTAATGCGTCTACTACTAGATAAAGCATTAAAATGAATTTCAAATTAATTTGCATATATTAAAATCATCAATACATTTTTCAAACTCTTATAAAAGCCTTGAAATTTTTTTTGAAATTGCACCTATTCGCCGATTTACACTGAAGATAGGTTCCTTAGAAAACCGTGTAAATTGAAATCGTAAATTTTTGTACGTAAAATCGTGTAAATCAAATTAAAGAAAATTCAATTTTTCATAAAGAATTCCAATTATTTGTGTCAGATAGTAAATCTTTGAGAATAAGTTGCACTCTCTACAATCAAGTATTTCTTGATATAACAAACTAAAATGTGTTACTTAGTTTTTTAAGGACTACAGAGGAAAATTAAAATCTTTACAGGATGAAAGGGAGCGACCGTTTATGACAATAAGTTGAATACTGTGAAAATTGTTGTTCAAATAAAATGTCGTCAGTTATGATAATATTCCATTCAACTCAAAGCATGTGGATATCAGATTCTTGTTCATCACATGAAGCTAAAGAATTTTTAAATAAAATATTTTAAGAACTTTTGATAATGTATATTTTATATGCAAATATTCTAGTTGTATCAGTTTTATGTTACATTGAAGCAATGTTTTATTATTTTCAAATGACATTCAATAGAACTAAATTCAATAAAACTATTTATGAGAAATGGAGAAATTTTAATTGCTTAAGAAAATAATATGTCTTACGTACCAGATCTGGAATCAATAATTTTTTATGTGATAATGCTAAATCTTTAGAGGCACAATCAACCACAAATATTCCGTCCATTTCATTTCCTCTACAAATGCACTGTTTTACATGTGATTTCGAGTTTAAATATTTGGAAGACTTTGATTTGAAAGTATACTCAGACACATTATACATCTGTTCCGGTCCATAACAAATTGAATCATGTCCTGGGTTTATAATGAAGTAATTTCGAACGTAAGTGTTTCGTATTGTAACCGGCGAGCGCAGGCGGCTCTGAATTCACCTCAAGACGAAAACAAACCATTTCGTCTCCCCGCATCCCTGCTGTCTTTAAATCCAACGGCAATGTTATTCGTCCGTCGCGTTACCGTTAGCATTGTCGTTAATCCGGTTATTGGCTCCGATCGCACGGTGCGCCGGATTAGCGACAGCTGATTGGTTCGTGACGTCACGGCGCGTTTCCGAATTCAGGTGATCGTCTAGCTCTCGCCGGTTAGAAGACAACGGAACCCCGAGTACGATACATCCTCGCGATTACCGATCCGACAGTGATATTAGTCACTCCCCAATTACAATTAATTAATTTTTCACGTTTTTCGTCTCCGTGTGTGAATCGTCTTGTTTTCGGTGTGTGCGTGATACTTCAACCTGAAATAAAGTCATACAATAAAGAAGTTATTTAGAGATTATAATTAACCCTTTCGCTACGGCAGGCCCGTCCGCCGAAGTACCGTCACAGAACAGAACGCTCGTACCCAAAAGTCGTGGCGTGGATGCCGCGTATATGCGGCGCGGCGCTCGGCGCGAAAGGGTTAAACAAATGTGATGAATATACCATTTATGGTCGCTGTCTTATTTATTTAGTATGTATTAAATATTCTTATTTAAATTTGTTTGAATGAATAAGCCTACTTAAGTGGAGATTGTGTGGGCATCATTGACTATTAGTACACTTTACATTCTCATTCTACTATTTAATTCAATGGTCCAGTAATTTCGACACGTTCACAAACAATGCTTAACGTGCGATTAAATATATTCGGACATAGCTCATTTTTTTAAACAATATTTAAAGAAGATATGGCCGAAATAAACAAAACTTTTGTTTATATTGTTATTGTTATTTCGAACTATTAATTAAGAAAATGCTAATATTGAAATTATAGAAAAAGAAACAGAAACAATTTGTGGAATATTACAGACAAATATAACTCTTTGATAAAACAGATACGAGTTATGTAACTGTATTGATTTATAATTACAGCTTTTCAATTGTACTTTTTCGTGGAGCACGGAATTTTTGGTTAACTTACTGATATGTGAGATATTTTGTTGTAGCTCAGATCCAGTATATGCAGCTGTGGGTGGTTCTTAACCCAATCTTCGAATATGTATGATATATTATTGTTGCTCAAATTTAATTTACTGAGAGAGATGCAATTGTGAAAAGGTGATTTGTTGCCATATTCATTTTTGATCGAAGACGACAATGTAAGTTGATTATAGGATAAATCAGCGATCTTTAAATTCTTCAGGGAATTAAAACTAGTATCTTCAATTTCTTGCAATCGATTATGTGACAAATCCAATACTTCCAACGATTTCAAATTGCTAAACAGATCCCTGTAATTTTTAACAGAAGAAATTTGGCAGAAGCAGTATAAATTTTGAAAATGAAAAGATATCTTAATGCCGAGTAAATGGAGTGTATTCTTTTCACACGGGGTACATGCCAAATGTATCGAGTCATGTTATTGGAATATTATAACATAAATCAATTATAAATCAATGTTGAAGAAAAGTCAGCAACTTGGGTATTGTAACATAAACCAATTATAAATCAATGTTGAAGAAAAGTTAGTAGCCTGAGCTGTTACACGGGAATCAGTTGGTATCATACAGAACAAGAATAGATGCATTAACTCTGTTTTTTTTTTTGTGAATACGTATCAAATATTATGAAGTCTATGTAATTTAACTTGGACGTTATTAATACTTATTTTGATAGCACAGTACATACTTTTAAAAACCTGAAGAACATCTTTTGAATGAAACATCTTAAGAGGTTCAATATGAAATATTTTTTCTCTGAATTATGTTATTACTCCGTAAAATGAATTTTTTGTTCCTTACAATACTTAATAACATTTCTAAGATCATATAAATTACAATAATATATAACAATAATTGGACAATGATTTCGAAAACGCACGACCTCTCTTATTTTGATGATTTTTTAATACATTATAGAATCAGTCTTTTATACATATATAATCACCAATCAGGATTAGTTTCTGAACTATTTGCAAAAAACTCTTGGCACAATTTCATTAAATGTCCCCTACAAATATGTGTTGATAGCAGCAGACATAGTAGAGTTCATTTTCACAACTACGTATTTTTAATTATTGCATTTTCGCTATAACTACATAATTAAATTACTTATGAATTCGTTTTATTGTAACATTTGTTCTTATCTTTAATACAGTAATTATTCGATAGAAGCAAAAATATTATCCCCACCACTTGGAGAGTAAGACCCCTCGAAACGTGCAAAGCTCGCTCGGCGAGAAATGTAACTGATGTTTCGAGTTGAGGTATATTTCTAAAACTGTACATGTGCAAATATAAAACTCCTTATTTTTTAGTTTTTCGTCATCCAACTTTTACCAATAAATTTTTCTCATTTTTTAACCGACTTCGAATAAAATAATTTTAAGAAAAAAAATACATCCACTTCGAAATGCACTAAAAAGTATAAAATAATTTCTATTTCATTCAATCATACAATTACATAACAGATATGAATAAAACCTATTTACTCAGTAAAAATACCTCAGTAAATGTTGCTGCCAATAACGAGTTGATTGTGGTATAGCGTATTGGAAATTAATAAATCCTGAGAAAGAATACGAACCATTATAGATATATCTGGTAATATACGTAAATGTAATGACTGTATCTTCATTTCGCAACGTTTCTGATATAAATAAAATTGAAACGACTTCGTTCGCATGTGGAAGCCATGGATCTAAGAGCCTATAAACGGAGCCCACGACGCGGGAATTACCAAATTTGCGGCAGATCGGCTCTATCTTTATGGAATACCTATCTTTATAGTATATACGCGAACGAGTCTTTCCGTCGCATACTCTATGAATCTAGATAGACTATAGTTATTATCTATACGCACTAATACCTACTTCGCGGCGTGCTGTCGAGTTATATGTATAGAAAAAAGAAATAGCTATACAAGCTTTGCCTATGTTCGGCTGTCCAAAGGTTGACATGTTCAAGAAAATCTTTTATTTATGCGCCGCCTCCGAAAAGGTTGAAATGTATTTAATATTCTACCTAACGAGTAAATAGGTTTTATTCATATCTGTTATGTAATTGTATGATTGAATGAAATAGAAATTATTTTATACTTTTTAGTAAATTATTTTATACTTTTTAGTGCATTTCGAAGTCGGTGTATTTTTTTT